CCCATGTCCTCGCGAATACCGATGACATGGATGTACAGCGGAAGGAGCTAGCCTTACCCCCCTCTCGAAAGCATATTACGCCACCGTCATAACCGATCTATGCCACGAGTACCTCGCTACCAGCGTCATCGACAGTGATGCGATGAGATGGATGTACAGCAGGAGGAGCTAGCCTTGTCCCCCTTTGGGAAAGCATAGACTACTACGCCGCCGTCAGAACCGATCGATGCCACGCGTAGCGTCATCGACAGTGTTGCAATGACATGAATGTACAGCACATGGAGCTAGCCTTACCCCCCTTTCGAACGAATACTGCAAGGGCGTCAGAAGCTGTTATGCAATATATACCTCGCTGCCAGCGGCATCGACAGTGACTGGGTGCCCACGAGGAAGATCGGTGGCATGGACAAGGTAGGTGCTACGTTATAACGAGAGTTTGGCTGCGGCACCTGCGCTGTTTGTATGTCCAGTCGACACGCATGCTTGCTCTCTGCCAGCCAATCGAAGCCCCGACGTTTTCTTTGCTAATTCAGGCCGGTAATATATAGCGCCGTTCCTGTGTAACGATCTCGTGAAGAGCAACCACGCGTTGAAACTCGACCGCGCATCTATGCGTTCGCCCACGAGTTTTGCAGTCTATCTTACAGTACTCATGAAAACTATTTTATGAGGCTAATTGTTCAAGTGCATCAGTACGGTGCATCCTGCCGTGCGATATGGCGAGCCACGTGTCTCGAAAATCACCCCCAACTTCGTAGCAACTTCCGCATGCACCATGCTCCCTTGCCGTGTTTTTTCGCTTTTGTGGATGACAACCCTGGAGAAGCAAGTGCCAGAGGTGTCTCCGAGCCAGGCAAATAGTGAATGCCGGTAAGCGCAGTTGTGACATGGAGGCAGTTTTACACGGCGAACCCCACCAAGTGTCCGAGAAGCACGGGGGGTTGTTCTCACAGTCGTGCATGCCTTACTCCTGGTCGTAGTCGTTATCCCGTTGACTTCGGATCCCTACAAAGCCGGGACGGAGCACGCGGGGTTCGGTTTCAATCGCCAAGCGCGAAGCTCTGAGGTATTCGGCGAGTGTCATGGAGGGTGCGGTGCATCCTACGAAGGGTGTTTGGCATTTTTGTGCTTTACTTCCTTGCATCCAGATAGAAGCTGCGAAATGATTTGGAGGTGTCTATTTACGCCACCGGTGGCGCAATTTCTTATATGCGCCACCGCTCTTATCTCCGCCCACAGAGCTTCAATTGGCACAAACTGACTTGTGTTGTGTAGCTATGACCCACAGCAATCATGCAAGCCATCGGGAACGTGCATCTGACCAGTAGGTGCCGAGATGTGCCCTCCCACGGGGGTACTTAAGCTTATATGCGCCACCGCCCTACGGTGGCACTGTACCCCCGTGGGAGGGCATATCTCGGCACCTACTGGTCGGATGCACGTTCCCGATGGCTTGCATGATTGCTGTGGGTCATAGCTACACAACGCAAGTCAGTTTGTGCTNCGGGACGGAGCACGCGGGGTTCGGTTTCAATCGCCAAGCGCGAAGCTCTGAGGTATTCGGCGAGTGTCATGGAGGGTGCGGTGCATCCTACGAAGGGTGTTTGGCATTTTTGTGCTTTACTTCCTTGCATCCAGATANAGCTGATGCCTCACAGGATTTTGTAGAGAGAAACCGTGCCTGCGCAATGATATTCGGAACTAAGCTTGTTCTTGCGGAGATGGAAGCGTAGAGTTCAAGCAAAAGAAAATAGATGAAATCATTTGGAGGTGTCTATTTACGCCACCGGTGGCGCAATTTCTTATATGCGCCACCGGTGGCGTAAATAGACACCTCCAAATGATTTCATCTATTTTCTTTTGCTTGAACTCTACGCTTCCATCTCCGCAAGAACAAGCTTAGTTCCGAATATCATTGCGCAGGCACGGTTTCTCTCTACAAAATCCTGTGAGGCATCAGCTGTCTTGCGTCCGCCCCAACAACCGAATGAATGAAGTCGCACGGCCCATTCGCTACAGCCAAAAGGGCCATTGCTGGTGTATGGTCTACCACACAGAACCCGTAACGACGGATGCCAACGCAAGTTAGCCTACACTTGGCCACTCTTACGTTTCAAACTCGGCAATGGAATTCCATGACCCATACGTGTGCAGCGAACTAGCGAAACACCTTGAAACGGAAGTCGGAGTGATCCAGGCTGGCATGATCGTCACACGGCACTACATTGCCCAGCCCCTACCACTGCTACAGCAAGGAACGAATCCTCAACCCCACACCGACGACCCAGAAATGGTTACCATAAACGGCTGGCCTGCTCGTCTCAAGGGGAGATGATCAGCTCATCCCTGTGGTAGTACTCCGCCAACAGCCTGTAGATGTACGACGGTTGCAAGCCCCCCATGTTGGTGATGTAGAGATCGACGAGGTTGGGTGGGATGTAGTCGTACGCAGGGTTCAAAACCTGCCGGGCCACGCGGCACAGGAAATGACCTCGTTCCGATCGTTGTTCTTCACCTTCAAATATCTGCCCAGCGCTTTCTAGCATCTGCATGCTGTACCAAATGGCCAACACCCAGTCTAGCGCGCGAGCGGTCTTAGAAAATATTGAGCAGGTACCGCAGAATACTATCTCCACGCGACACGATAGTGAACGCGGCACTGAAGCGATAGGCCACGTTCCTGTCAAACGTTTCGCGGTACATCATGGCCTCCAATAGCATCATCGAGGTTCTCCCGATTGAGCTACAGATGTACACACGCATACCGGTATGGCTGAGCGCCCTAGGAAGCGTGGTGTATTGCATGCTCACGTTGACGTTCTTCATGCTGTCCTTGTCCTTGAAGGATATCACAGCAGCGGGCGATAGAAGGCAGTTGAACGTGTCCCGGTCGTGAGGAAACAGCGGGCACAGCGAGCGGACCACCGGCGGAGACAAAGAGGCGATTGTGAAGGGCGGGGAAAAGGGGTCGTGGTCGAATTCTAAGTGCTAGGTGGCCTTGAAAAAAGTTAGCCGTAAACACCAACCACTTTGTCGCAGTTGGTTGAGCTCATCAAAATTCTTCAGCTGCTGCATGGCCCTCCCACAAACCAAGGCATAGTAAAGTTTTGGGCCAGAAGAGAATTAAATCAAACGGAAGCCCCAGGGCACAAAAATATTTCCGGCATGGCTATTTGGGACAACGTTGTCCCAAATTTTACNAGAAGAGAACAACATATGCTCGCCAGAAGTGCGTGGATTGTGGTGAAAAAAACGGCACGGCTATTCGGGACAACGTTGTCCCAAAATTTTATTTGGGACAACACGTCTAACTCGGCGTAGAAAGCTCGGATCGACCTCAAACCAAGTTTGTTGTAATCCTACTGGACACAGCTTTCATGGAATGTATTTTGAGTCCACAACGGAGCCGGGGCCGAGGAGATAGAGCCTAAAAAAGGGGGTCCTTANAATGTATTTTGAGTCCACAACGGAGCCGGGGCCGAGGAGATAGAGCCTAATTAAGGGGCTCCTTGTTATGGAGGAAAACGTGGATTTACCGAAGCCACGGA